AAATACTGAAGTACTTTAAATGCATAATTACTTAAGAAGGTGACACACCACACAGCTCACTGCAAGTCAAGCGCTACAACCATGTGCTAACAATGACTCATGGCAGATTTACTACACATTTTCTTCAGTTTATGAATTTTACCTATCGAGGCTAGGGTGTCAAAAATAAGAAGAAAAAGAAGGAAAGAAAAGGTGAGGAGAACCACAGGGCTGCTTGTCTGGAGCTGCCACTGGCATGCTGCTCACCTGGAGACTCCCGCGTCCGCTTGCGTTCCAGCAGGGAAGAATTGGGACATGGCTCCAGCGAACACCAGCTTTCGCGGTTTATCTGAAAAACAGACCAAAGCAAATCAAAGAAAGGTCAATGTCGCTAACGTCCTCGTTAGCCTCTTCTGAAATGCCACTCTGCATTACCAGCAGATACATAGTTATGACTTAATCTTGTCCCAGTAATAAAAACCTCAAAAGGAACTTACAATTTTTTTTTTTTTAAGCATCACTAAACAAACCATTAAAATATGCCAAAAACCTTTATTTCTCCATGGAAAGTATGATTTCAAGGTGGCTCCCGCTCAAGGCAGGAGTTCAGAGGGAGGATGAGCCAGCATTTAAGCTACTAGTTGAGGACTGAAGAAACCTGGCTTCGATTCTCACTTCCATTTGTAGCAGGACCGCAGGCAAGATACTCCTCTGCTTTATGCCTCAGTTCACTATCTACAGAATAGCAACTCCTTACCACCCATACTGCTATAGAGATAATTACCTTAAAGATAGTAGGGCGCTGAGATAATGTGGAAATGAGGGTTAGGGAAGTGCCCAGGTCATGGTGAGAACCAGAAGCACTTTGTGTCTGCATTAATTGAAACGATGATGATGTTAGAAACGCCCATTTTAACAGCAAGACACATCACATGGTTTATTTCAACATCAGCCCTTATCACCTCACCCTGTCCCTCACCCACAACTTCCAGTCTTGCAGCGAGGATGACTGAGCTGCTCCCAGTCTTCTCCCTCGTCTGCCTCTGCTTTACTCTTCCTCACTTGGGTTGTGCTGTCCAACATTTTGACTCTGAAGTCTGCTGGACTGCCCACAAGCCTTGGCTCATCCAACACAGGCTTCCCATCACTTTTGTCTACAGCTGGTAAACTCTGGAAGCCCCTTTGCTCTCTCTCCTTCAGGAGCTCTGCTGTTTCTCTGAGCCAAACGCTTCTATTTGTCAAATGCAAGCAAATCTCGCCTGGACAATCCCATGTCCCACGTCACAAAATCCAGACGTCGTTTCCCCTCCTGACCTGCCTCAACGCACAGGATCTCCCATGTTATGTTGTAGCTAAAAGAAAGCTACTAAAACGGATGACTATCTGACTTTATATGCCAACTATTTCTCCTACCCTCTCTCTGGTTTTCCTTTCCTCTCCTGAAATAATTTCCTTTTCTCTCTCTGTGTCAAATAGAGAATTGTTACTATTTACTTTTTGCCTCTGACCTGTCTTCAAATTTCCTCCATAATCCTGCTCCATTTTTGCAGTCCCTTGCTGGATTCTCATCCGCTTGATGCTCTCCTTTCTCCCATGTTACGAAATGCCCTGTTTTTTCCTTTTTATTCCTTTTTCTTTTTTGTAATGAAGAAAACCCAAGACTCTCCTACCCTTGACCTGACTTGTTGCTTTGAGTAATGACTCCATCCTTCTTCCTTTCTCGCTGAGATCATGGAACTTGTTATTTGCAGTTGCTGGCTGGGG